TTGAACCCTGGTCATTTTCTCCCCTATTTTTAGTCGAGGCATAATTATTTAAAAAAAAAAAAAACAGATTGCGTGTGTAGTTTTTTCTTTATACTCAGAAGTAGTTGAGACAAACCCTCAAACCGTGGACCATCGACACTGAATCCAGGATGTAACCGCTGCTTTTTGTGTACCCCCCCCCCTCTCACCCGCCACCCCCAGTATGCTTTGGAGCGTTTAAAGGTCATGTGCGAAGAGGCCTTGTGCAACAGCCTTTCAGTGGAGAATGTGGCCGACACCCTCATCTTAGCAGACTTGCACAGTGCCGAGCAGCTCAAAGCACAAGCCATAGATTTTATCAACAGGCAAGTATCGCAAAAAAAAAAAAACAAACCTCCGATGATAAATACCTGCTGCCATTTCTGTTTACCAGCCCTGAATGCTTACCTTTTTATCTCCTTGCCATAGGTGCAGTGTCCTGAGACAGCTGGGCTGTAAAGATGGAAAGAACTGGAATAGCAAGTATGTAATTAGCTGATATATGTGACACAAGATTAATAACACACTCTTATCTCTTCCGCCAACCAGATGCATTAGAATTCATTGTTTTAGCCCAGGCAGACAGAGTGCTATTTGCCTTTTCAGTTTGAAGCTCCATATCTTTGTATCCAAGTTATTAATAGACTCATACCTGCCTAAACTCTGGAAATGGAATATTTGTCGAATCTTACTAAGAAAGGAGGTGGTCGCTACGGGAAGTTTTTCTTTCAGATGATGTAGTGTGTTATTATAGGACACCTTGAAATGTCTCGGTTCTGTTCTCCGCGTGGAGATGCAGTAATCCTGCATTCATTTCAATCTATGCACGCACATAAAGCACTAATGGCCCTTTTCAAGTTTCACCATGCAACTTGCAAATCAAGTCCTCCTTATTGGCGCTGTCATTACGATCTCATTTATGTTTATTGATTTTTAATGTGCACATTCTTATGTCTGAGTGTTAACTTCATTTTCCCTGTGCTTACAGTCATGCTACAGATATAATGGAGACTGCAGGCTGGAAGTCAATGATCCAGTCCCATCCTCACTTGGTTGCCGAGGCCTTTCGCGCCCTGGCTTCAGCACAGTGCCCACCCTTTGGTCTTCCCAGGAAGCGTCTAAAACAGTCCTGACTGCCTGACTGTGCCCCAGGACTTTACTGGAGGTGTGAAGCATGGGTTTACAAAGGAAGGACTAGCGAGGGTACCACTCTTATTTCCACCAAAATTGAACACACTTGAATAAAGAAGAGTGGAGCTTTCTGGCCAGGAATGTGGGGAGGCTGGCACGTTGGACGACTGACATCAATGGATTGAGGGAAAAGAGCGGTTCGATCAGTGTTGCTTGCTTGCTTTGCTTCCCCAGCTGAACTTTGTTCAGCACGGGTAACAAGTCAAGCCGCCTGCTACTGTCTTTTTTTCCTGTAATTTTAAAAATGGCCTTAATATATCTGCCATTGCTCTGGAGCTGCTCTAGAGTACTTTGTCTATTTTACTCTGTGCCTGCCTTGTCACAAAGACCAGGCCTCCTCCAGGTTGCACTAGTTCCCATGAATAGTCATTTTGATATGGAGTTCTATAGGAACGTAACAAAGGTTTAACTAAATGGGAAATATTATATATATTTGTAATGTTTAGCCCGTTTTGTGACTAGACATTAAAAAGCATGAACACTTTCAGTGCAAGGTCAGTTCTTTACACTTTTTAAAAGATGTGTATGCCCCATATTGATGGCACCATTTCTATGTAAATGACAGTTGAACCATCTGCAGAAGACCAGTGTACAAGAAAGTCTGTTCTAATGCATATTTGTGGGGAAAATAGTAATCTGCCATTAAGAAGACCCAGTGTCAATCCTAATAATTCATGTGAGACAGGAACGTGTCTGTACCTTGGCCCTAATATATTAAAACATTGGAAGTATATGGACGTATTTACTCAGTCTCCCATTTGAATGGCATATTCCAGATCATACGTCTGTGAACTGTTATAGATTAAATTTTTAAGAATTCCTTTCGTTAATATTGCCAACTTGCAAATATATATTCTCAATATATTGTGGTTAACTAAAAGTGGAAAGACTAATGCATGGTCATGTTATTGTCAAAGAAAGTGTCCAATTTTGTTTTTAACAATTTATTTTCTGCAATTATCTGACATATTTGAGCAGAATTAAATGAATTGAGTATGTGCAAAAATTTCCTCTAACATGCTTGGGTATTTTGTAGGATGCTGAGCATCACTTCTACTGGCAATGTTATTCTGTGTTTGAATGGGGGGGTTGTCATGTTTATTCAGTCCGTCTTGTATGTAGTGTGGTGTGACAGACACTTCAGAGGATTTTGTAAATTAAAAGAGTAGCATCATTTTTACATGATATTACTCATCATTCAGCGTCATGTTGAGATGTTGAAACTACTTTTTATTTGGAAGCAAAAAAGATGAAGTTGTTGTCTGCAAGAATGCCTGCATTAACCCATTAAAACATTTTCCAGCAGTCTGAAGAGCCCCGAAGCTTGTTTATTTATTTTTTAACAGGCGGTTGTTGAACTCAATGTGACAAGAGATTTGAATACAAGAGAGGGTGCTTATTATCCACATGGTCTCATTTTAATGACCATATTAATGGATGTGGATGTCAGGCAGACATTGTTTTTTTTCCTCTACTGGATTTAAATAGGATTGGAAAACACCAGTGCAGTGATAATCAAAAGAAAATGTGCTTAAACCACATTAGCAGCCACATGTTCGGTGTTGAACCTTTTTTCCGACACGCTTGTTTTATGTGTGAACGCTCGGCACAAGCTCTAATTAAAGTGAACGTGAGGCAGCTCTTTCCATGCTGGAACGGAGATGTCTTCATCAGCAGCTTGCTGATCCCCCGTCCGCCCCTCTCGGCACAGATCCTAGCAAAATACCTGATACCATCTCTGCTTCAGGACGCCGCTTCTTCCTTCCTCAACCGAGTGTAACACTTGAAAGTGGAGCTGCCTGCAGTGGCACCATCAAAACTGAAAATGTGTTCTGTCATTTAGATTGTAGGAAACAGGATTTCTAAGCTAAAGACAATGGGCTTGGTAGAAAAAAAATTGTGAATGTGTGTGATGAGTCAAAATTAAAAAATCAAGCTGCAGTGCCCTGACTTTAGAGAAGTGACAGAAAGAGAGAAAAAGAACTGTTGGAGGTGTCCTGTGATGCTCTCTTTTTACTGAGCTTTATTCTATGAAGTAAATTACTTTTTGTTTCCCATGATGCACTTTTTACAAACTGAATGAAATTAATTTTGTCTTTGTCTTAGCTTTTCCAATGAATTTTCCTTTGAATTGTTCTCCTTAAACCAGACAGTTTCAGCAACACAAACTGTCACTGACCACTGGTGATGAATTGTAGCTCTGCATATGTAAATTACTGCTGTTAATTGTCAGATCAATTTGACATGGGTAATTACCTAACAGATAGAAAGCCATTTATTATCTGTCTAATAATCACTAATATCACCACTGACAAATCAGGGAAATTGAAATGTAAGTTAACATTCCTCTTCGTTTTCTAAGGATTCGGATGCGGCGGCAGGAGAGCCTGGTGTGACTTGATGCCTTAAGCAGTGGGTGCCTCACCCTGATCAGATAAGAGTAATGGAAGGGAATGAAAAGACCCCTGTCCCTGATGGCTGCAGAAAAATGGATGTGCTCCCTGAGGTGTACCTCTGGTATCATCCACGCCTGTGGACACAGATTTATTGCCCATTAAAAAGCTACACTGAAATGTAGCCCTTAAAATGGCGTGTTTATCCTGTTGAGAAGTCCTTGTAGGAATGAAACGAGACAAGCCTGAGCGCCGACAGGCTGGGTGTGACTCAGTGTGACAATACACCGTGAGCCCAGTTCAAATAAGGTTTAATGCCATAAAAATCTGAATTGATCTTTACAATTTCCATTTTAACAAAAGTTAACCCCCTATGAAATCAAATATTCCAAAATGAACATTTGTACTTACACTATACACACAGCAGTGCTCATTTCTATTTTACAGGGGAACCGTTAAAACAAGATTAAGCAAGCAAAAAATCAAAATAGGAACAATTTGCAAGGATTACAAAAATGGAACTCAAAGCAATCTTATGACTAGTAGCAATACATATGATTATCTACATGATGAAGCCGAACAAACACCAAAAATAAGCAGCAGTATAATCATTGATATATTTCTCTGGAAAAAATAAGAACAATTGACATCATTTACTCTGAAGCCATAATTAAACACATTTAGTTTTTAGAGTTACACGATAATACACAGCATTTTCACAAAGGAGTAGAACTAAAACATCAACATATATCAACTCGGATTTAAATATTTCCTTATCATACACCTCACCGCATGTTATGTGACAGGGTCATTTACAGCAGACGGGGAAAGGCATGAGGTACAGCAAAAGAGTAACTGACAGAGATAATTGCCATGTGATTAGTCAAAGCCCTCGACTAATCTCTGGATGTGTGCAAACAACAACTTATGGCATTTAACGTGTTGATGGTTCTCGACAAAACCTTTTAAAAATGTTTTTTGTAATTGCAAAGTCAAAGCACAATACACCGTTTTACTACGAGACGGGGTGTTATCCACTTTTACACAAGAGTTGTTCAGTTTTAAGCCAGCTGTACATTTGGGAAATGTCTGACATTTTCAAATTGAGTAGTCCCACTTCTCATTAAAATTCCAGACGGATTCTGTACTTTTGTCTTTTGCCTTTTTTTTTTCTTCTTCCTTTTACTTTTGGTTTCCCACTCTCTGTGTTAAGTAAATGAAATTTCCCAGGCTAATTAAAGCCTATTAAAGACAGGTAATGTCAGGGCTTGTGGCAGGACCATGACAAAGTGCTGATAATTGTCTGCCAGACTCACTAAATCCACCTGTCCTGCAATTATCCCCCTCCACCCCCAACCCCACCACCCCTGCCTCTCCTGACATTAATCCACTGTGGCGCTCGCGCGGCAGGCTGATGCCTCAAAGTGCATCCTGCAAACACAGATGTGAAATTTCAGGCTAGTTTAGCATACACATGCCTTATGATGATTGTAGCAGAGAAAAACCCAACACATTTCTCAAGAAGCAAACAAGGCAGCATACATGGGTACCTACATATGTATGTGTATTGACTGATGCTCATGCTCTCAGGTTGCTTTCGGATCGAATTTGTCGGATCAATTTATTTTGTCTTTTGGCCACTTCAATTTGTTTCAGTGGATCAGTTCACTTGATTTCAGTCCCTACAAGAGACAGATAGCATGGATAAGAGATAGGTTGTGAAGCCGTATTAATTATTCAGAGCTACTTGAAAAATTACCCATTAATCAAACTAATCTGAAATTAAAGAGGCTGTCCCGCCTGTGCTATGTTCACAGGTACAAATGGACATTAGCTCCACTTTGAAGACAATGAAGAGATCATTTTGACTTATCAGTCAAAAGCAGTGAGGCCTCAAATGTGTGATATCTTAATTTTACGCACTAATGAGTAACAATTCAATTGTCTGAGTATTGTAATTGTTAATATGATTCAAAGTCTTGTAATATTTCACCCCGTAACTGACTGTTTAAATGAGGTGAGGGAATTGTTTGATAATGTTGGCATCAGTGCTTCATTGGCAGCGATACTCTTCCAACGGAGAGGCTGCATGCCTATGGTCTTGCCTTGAAGGAAACATCTGGACAGCATACTAATTATACCATTGGTTTATAGAGAACATGTGCTGTTGTGATGTGAAGGAGTCACTCAGTGTTTGGAGCTAGCTCTGAATCCCAAGTCAACCCCTAACTCCAAGTCCCTGGACACCTAACTACCTGAAGTGTTTACATGTGCAGTTTGTACAAAAGTTTTGTAGCAATGCGTCAAATCCATCCCCACTTTAAGTTGCACCTCCTCCAACTTATCTCAGGTTTTTAGGTATTTCAGGACAGGGAGCTTAGAAGTTGACTTTGACATAGTTTGAAGATAAATCAAGAGGTTGATGCATACTAGCAACCGCTAGGTCATCCTGTGGAGGAGTAAGGTGTGTCGCTATGGTAGTTGTAGTCAGGGCATACCTTCTGCACCAGTTTATAGTCTACACTGTAAAAGGCTATATAGATGCATATGACTTTAAAGGGTTTCGAGCACAGCCAGGACACGTGGCTCTGCGTGTGCTCCTGGTAGCACACCTTGGACTGGTCGAAGTTGCACATTGCAGTCTTCTTGTTGCGGTCTGTCTTCTCGTACTCGATGCGGCAGTTGAACGATTTGGTGTCTTTGGTCTCCAGCGTGGACTGCTGGGTGATCTCAAACTCCACCACCTTGGAGGGTGGCACTAGGCTGACTGACACGTTGCCCATGCCTGTGGAGTTGTGGCGGAAGTAAACGCTAAAAGTGCCATTCCCATGGTCCACGATCTTCCCCGTGATCAGCAGGTTGAGTTTGACAGTCTTGATGTTTGAGTGGAAGTCCCCCCACCCAAACATCTTTTTGAACTTGCCGGTCTTGACGATGGGCCTGCGTTTAGTTCTGGCCTGTGCACCCTGAGCATCTGTCTGGTTAGATAACCAGTCCCAAAAGTCCTCCATGTTCTGTAAATATGTTATTTCCCTCATGCTACTCTTAAACCCGGGGGAGCCCTTGGCAAACAAACGTAGGGGGTTGAGGATCCGTGGGCTGGCCCCCGTGGGAGAAATCTTCTGTTCATTATTACCGTCTCCCCACTCGATGAGCTCTGTGGCGCCTCCGTGCACCTTCCTGCATGTGACCTACAGAGAAAACAGAGCATAGGTAAAAAATAAAAAAAAAAGTTAATTAATTCCACTTTTTCAAGGAAGGAAAATCCAGCAATGCAAAGTCTCCGGTTTGTTTGTTTGTTCGTAAATAGACCATAAAACTGAGTTTACACAGGCTGTTATACATTTCATGGACAACAAATCTGGCACAAAACACCATTAAATGCAACAAATCAGTGTTCACACTGACAACTTCGAGGTGACTGCACTGTGAAAATACCACAGCATAGCATCAGCACAAGGGATAAAGAGGGATATCTCTACAGCACTTAAGAGGGAGAGAAGGAGAAAATAAAACCACCATGAACATGGAACACCCACTTGTTAAACAACTTTTAAGATTAAAGATTTACTCTGGGAAATGGTTGAACACAGCAATGGTGCCTTTGGGAAAAAAAATCTTTGGTATTAAGCTTTACAAAAAACGACTTCAAACAGATACTGTATTTGAAACTGACTGCTGAAGGAGAACTCAGTCTTTGGAAATATGACATTGAAAATACAAGTTCAGGACGGCCACTTGATTTCCTGGCACAATAAAATGTATGAATTTCCTTCTATTATCTCACTCGTCAGTTCTCTCTGAAGTTCCTTCCTCTTTAAAGGGAGTTTTTTCCTCTGCACTGTTGCCAAGTCTTTGTTCAAGGTGGGGACTGTTTGGTTTATCTCTATGATATTGTAAGGTCCTTACCTTCCTCTGTAAAATGCCCTGAGATAATGTATGTAATGATCTAGTGTTTTATAAATAAAACTGATCAGAATTCAAGTAAAGGAATTAAATTGCCTTGCTGCACTTTCTGCACAAGGTTTTAAAAATCACTATGATGAGAATCACCAACTTTCATTTCATTCCATGTCCATCAATGGTACTCACAACTATGGGTTCTGGATGCAGAGCGATATAACAGTGAGTGTGATTATTCACCTAATTCGGTGAGTGTTATCTTCTCAGTGAAGTCAGAGCAATAGTTTGACTTTATGGGAATATGCATATTGATTTTCTTGCAGAGAGTTAGATGAGAAGAATAATCCTGCTTTCATGTCTGTAGTAATGTATCTGAAGCCATCCGACATTTAACATGAAGACTGGAAACAGGGGGGGGGAGCTAGCTTAGCTCTTTCCAAAGTTTAAAAAGCAGAATGTCCAGCATAACCTTGAAAGCTCTCAATTTTAAATCATATCTTAAGACAAAGCCTGACAATCTTTCCCTTTGTATCAAGCATGCATGCTAAGCCAAGCAAAGTGACTGGAAATACTCCTGTAAACTCAAATCATAATTCTGTAAACAATTTATTTTTTTTACAATCTCTACAAGTTACGGCACATATTCAATACTTCCACCTTTCATTTTGTTAAAAGGATCAGTTTGACTTGAAGTCCCCACAGTACTGACACAATGAGCCACAACTTGATTTGTAGGATCTTTAATAACCTTGACAACCTTAACAATTGTCCACTCAAACCAATGAACCTGCAACAACACAGTCCAAAGTTATGAATCATTGCCTGGGCATCCACTTTATGGATCAGGATGGAGGACAGTAGAGATGAGGTTGGTCAAAGGAGTCTGAATTACAACTGAGAATTGTTAGAGTAATCTCTGCATTTATGACTTAAAATGTTTTAAATTGTAGTGCAGTTGGTTATCTACACCACAAGGCATCAAATGTAATCGTGTAACATGGCTTAATAACTGAGAATTTAACTTTCCACAAAACGAATCTACTAAACACCAGTAGCTCCTCCGCACTGATGAACTCCAAAAGAGCTCATATTTGCATAAAGCTCCTAATATTTTAGGACGACTTGTCAGATTACATGACATTGAAAATCCCCTGAGCTAAACGTGAGCCGGTCTCAGACCACTAATGCTATTTTTAGATAGTACAGTGCGTATGAACTTTGGCTTATAATGGTTCCCAACAATGAAATCCCCTTCTACAGTGGTGCGGGTAAAGTATGTGCTATAAGTGCTAATCCAGATGCAGCAATGAACTATGATCCCTGCTCGTACCTCAAAGCCTTTTGGCTTCAGGAGCGATTCCTGGTCCACTTCAGATAAAGCTTTAATAATTCACGGCAATAAGCTTAGCTGGTTTTATTAGTAATTAGTAGTGGCGGCTTTCCCCGGGCCCGGTTGTAGGGATCACTGAGAGAAGCAGATGTTGAAAGCACAGAGCAGCGGCTGTTTGAATTCTCACTGAGCTGCTGCGCACTACTTCCAAACTAATTATAATTTAGCTGTAAGCCTAACTGAGGCCCATGTGTACAAAGCTAACAAACTAGGTCTGTCAGCCACTATTTGTTTTGTTGTGCTCACATTCTATATTAATCTTTTCTATTTGACATGTTAAAGTGCCACATACATTTCAAGCAGTGCAATGCCTTTCTTCACTGCGCTGCTCATGGCCCATGCACACAGTCCAACACCTAAGCAGAACGTAATGGCTATCTGGATATGTAATGTGAAATCAATGAGTCTCCAACGGACAGTGAGTCTGACCCATCTATCAGCCCTCACAATGCTAAATTAAGACAGCAGCTCCCTGTAAACATGGATGAATGAGGCTACGCAGTTGTAATGTCCCTCTGCGTAGCTCATCACATCCACAGTCATTTAATCAACTGATTCCAGTGTCAGTATTCCCCACTGATACCTCCACTTAGTAATACCGTGTCAGAGCTCAGCTGTTGATTTGATTAGACCATTACGGCGTCACAATAAAAGGCGACTGTGAACATAAAGTCTGTGGGACTGCCGGCTCCCAACAGGAACGCTTCTTTACCGCTGTGAACAAGGGAAGGCGTGGCACGTGTCTTCGCACCAGCCCGAGTTGCTATATCCATTTCACATAGGGTGTCGTGCTGCGCAGCTTCAGAGGTGAAACCGAATTTTGTCTTTTTAGTGTAAATCTCAGGTGAGCTTTGTATAGGGTGATTATAATGGAAATGAGAGAGGAGTTTAAGTATGATGAGCAACTGGGGAAATTGCTGTGACGACAAGGGGATCAGCGGAGGGATATCTAATACTTAAAATGCCCCGAGAGAGATGAAGAGCTGGGAACTTAAGAAGCCTGCACTGACACAAAGGCTTTGGTTTGTCTCTCTCTCTCCCTGTCTCCCTGCACACATGCAACACCTACACACACACAAACACACTTCCTTCATTTCAGCGGAAGTGGTGCTTCTTGAAAACAGACGAAAGGAATCCGAGTTTTTTTTATATAACAAGACGATTTGGGGGGAAAAAAAAGGGAGGCAAGGTCTGATGAAGGAGAATCTACAAAAGCTTAATTAAGATTTCTTAATCGGTGCTGCTGTGCTAGAGGCATTTTGGGGCGACTTGAAACAAGACATTATTATGATAATAACGGCAGACTTATGGAGCTGAAATCACCAGCCCTCATTTCTGCAGAAATAGGGAAAATGACTGGCAAATGTTTGCGGATGTGTGCTTAGCTTCTTCATTTTTTCCTGTAAATCCTGAATAAAAACATAGAGAGGTGCAAGTACCTGATGTTCCAGCTATATCTGCCGTATAAAAGTAATACAGCAGTAAATGTAAAGGGGGTGAATTATAAATGCTGTCAGTAAAATTCATGGACTTCTCGAGTAAAAGAAAAGGGACTCAGGTGTTTTTATACTGTAGCTGCTTATATTTCCAGTTAATATTCTGTACTATTACATCTCATGGTTAAAACATACAGTATTTCCTCCTCTTTCTCTGAACAAACCCGGTTAACCTTCCATAATTTTCAATATGTGAGAAGGAAACTGAGATTTCTTACATTTAATCATAATTTCCACTGTAACCATAAAATGTACCTCTGTAACCTCATCAGCAAAGGCTATTTATTACATTACATTACACACAAAATCAATACTCGTGTCATGGACACTGCATTTTTTCTCTACTTTCAGGGCCAGTTAATAATGAAATGATTTAAGTTATAATAAGGAGTACAACTCCTTATTCTAAGAAATGTGTCTGAAACTAAAATAAAGGACTATTGCAGATAAATGATGAAAGAATTCTCATTGACCAATTGTTTAAGGCAGGTTGACTCACCTAACATATACAGGTGGAATAATATTTAGTAAGTAAGATTAAAAAATGATTAAAAATGTGCACAAAACATATATAATGATATGTCATGTTTTAGCCAATCATTGGTATTGTCAGTATTACATCAGGCAGCTTTGCGGATCTCTGCTATGAGAGCAAGACTGATATTATCTGCCAGTATTAGCTTAGATTAATCTGCGTGAGTCCATATATAGCCTGATAGGGACAAAAATCAGTGTTAAAATACCACAACTATGTTTTCACCTCAAAACAGTGTCAGCATCACATTGTTCATACTCCACACAGTAAAGGAGAGTTTATTTTTCAACTTTAGAATGATCAACTCATCACATATGTTGATTGCAAACCCTTAATATCCAAAGGTCATGTAAAAGACCATGTTAAATTCGTAAAAATATTTGTGTCAGCATCAGCCACGAAGAGTATACATTTGATATTATAAATTAGCACGATTGCTTTGTACAAAAGTTTGGGCACAACTTGGCAAATTAGCTATTTTGTTGATTTCTGAAGGGACAACAAGTAAATGCTGCCCCTTTAAACAGACATTTAAAAAAATATCTTGTTAATGCACATCTACTTTTTATTCATGAAATTAAAAAAAAATGAAAATTTAATGTCTAAAGATTTTTTTTGCATGTGGAAACATTTGGCAATTCTGCTTGTAAAACACCAAGAGTTTCATCAACTTGTTCTTTAATTGACTCATCAGGACTCGAAGAAGGTCAAGAATCGCCATTAGAAATTTTCAGCTGATGTCAGTTCCAGAGTCGATAAATTCTCTATGAAGCATCAGAGGCTATAAAAAGATATCACTGCACTTCCAACTAGAATTTTTGGCCGTCCAGGATGTCATTAAGAATTGGCAGTGAAGGGGAACTATGG